AAATACCTTTTTGTTGGGTGGAAAAGGATAACTTTCGATGCTATCGGAACGAAATAAGCCTTTAACGTGCATCCTAAACTTGCTTAACGACCAAATCACTTCACGACCGGTTTCGTGGAAACAATCACCGTCGTTAAGAGGAGTGGGTTCGAACTCTGTTAAGTTGAAGCAGCCACGTGCGTGGCTGCTCGCCCGAAGGTAAATCACGTGACATCCCGCTCCTCCGATTGGCCCGACTCGGGCGAGGTTCGCGGTGGGCTACGCACGGCGCGAAATAAGTTCAACACGCGCACACACACACAAAGATCCCCCGTATAGCCTTAACAGGCTGTAGGGGCAAGTGCTGTTAGCGAGCACCTACGAAGGCCGTAACGGTACACGAGGGGGTGGATGACCAGCACCACGCCCGACCGCCTTAGTCTCCCCAGTGGCAATGTTTTTATCCACCGCACCAGGTACTCATTTGAGGCTGAGTCGACCTAGGGGAGGCCCTGGACCGGTTCAGATAATCGTCAATGGTGTTGGCCGTGAGCGGGAATCGAACCCGGGTCACCAGGTTCATAGCGCTGCGCGCTAACCGCTACACTACCGCTCCCCATACACACACACACGCACACATACCCACGTCACTTCCTCACGCCGCCGTTAGACAAGAGCAAAGGTTTAATTATGATTCTTTCTTACAAACGGAACGAGATACAGAGAGGGAGGGGGGAATTCCTGTGCCACGCAAGTCTGGCAGTTATAGGGCACGTGATCATCATCGTCATAATTAGAATAACAGCCACGGCAATAATAATAATGATAACGACAGCCAACAGCATCAACACTGAACAAATGATAGCACGAGGAGCGAGAGAGAGGGGGGGGGGAACGCGCAGACACCTCACCTCGGTCTCGTGGGATTGAAATAGTTAAAAAAAATTGAACATTTTTTTCGTGTGAATATTCTCTATTTTACAAATCTCCAAATATTGTAACGGCCAAGTTCACCGCCCCCCCCCCTCCCTTCACCTCTTCTTGTCCCCCCCTTCCCCCCACACACCTTGTGTTGATAATAAATTAAATAATTATTTAGTTATGATACAAAGACGGGAAGGGAGGAGAGAGACGCGCGGCGTGGAGTTGACGATACGGTCGCTGATGGGGGGGGGGGGGGGGGGGGGGTGCGAGGGGGGGGGGTGCGAGGGGGGGGGGGTAAATGGAACAGTCACGTGGTCCGAACTCGCTGTGACGCCTTCCCGATAGCGGGGGGGGGGGGGGGGGGGGGGGTGGCGTGGTTGAGCGACTCGGGCGAGGTTCGCGGTTCACTGCACCGAGTGTCCCAACTCACCGCACCGCCGTCGATTTTGATGTTACGCGCGCGCGCGCACCGCATCGGACTGATCCGCACGTGAGTGATGGATGCGGATTGACCGCACAGGGCGTGGCGCTGAGGAGGTGGTGGTGGTGGTCATCCCTGCTGATGATCCCCAGAAAGGTGGGGGGGGGGGCAAACCCGATCGAGACTGCCCGATTAAACCAGTGCCGAGGGTTAACAACGCAATAGGGTTGCGAGGCCGATAGATCGATGGGCGAAGATAGATTTTTTTTGTTGGTTTGTTTGATTGCGGGGATGCAGAAGTTTATCTATCCACGTCTCCACAGCTCGCCGGCTCCATTTGATCTCCCTGCGCGGCAGTTGAAGTAATGGCCAAGTTCATTAACCCCCACCCCCCTCCGCTTCAAACCCAGCGGTGTTAATAGGATACGCCACCAGTTGATCGATCGACAGGCCGCGCGTGTGTATGTGTGTGTGTTGGTGGGGTCAAGTGTGGGTAACTCACATACGGACAGCGTGAAAGAGTTAGGTATGGAGGGGGAGATGGGGGGGGGGGGGGGGGGCGAGTTCGCCCTCTCCGGACGAGCTCCCCGGAGCAGTTTGGAGGACACCGACCCCCCCTTGCCGCCGACACCACCGGACTTCCACGGCATTGGCGCGAGTTTACGCCCCCCCAACTTTTTTTGCTACCAAGACGAGTTTCGTGCGCAACTTGGGGTGGCGTTTGAACCGACGCAGCCCGTGTGTGTCTTTAAAAAAACTTAAAAACCCAAATTTTATTTTTTTAGCCGTCGGCGTTCCGCAAATTTTTCGACGGAAAAACTCTCGCCCCACCGCCGGTATGAGCGAGGAGCACGGCGCCTGTTGGGCCGGGCGGGGTAACACGAGGCACGTGCTCTCAATGACGCGGCGCGTGCTCTCAATGACGCGGCACGTGCTCTCAATGACGCGGCACGTGCTCTCAACGACGCGGCGCGTGCTCTCAATGACGCGGCACGTGCTCTCAATGACGCGGCGCGTGCTCTCAATGACGCGGCGCGTGCTCTCAATGACGCGGCGACCGCTCATTGCCTCGGTCACCACGCGGAGTTCAATCGCTCGGCGGTGATTGGTGGAGGTGACTACCCGCGACGCGCGGATGGGATTTGAAGCGGTGGTGGGTGGGGGTAGGGGGGGCGAAACGTCGTGAGGAGAGGTTAGGGATTGGGCTACTAGGGACAGTGCTAACGGCTGCTTGGCTAGTTATGGTTATGTGCTGGTTAGCTGGTGTGGTTATAGTGTCTCTGGTTAGTTGTGGTTATGTGCTGGTGAGCTGGTGAGGTTAGTCTCTGGTTAGTTGTGGTTATGTGCTGGTTAGCCGGTGTGGTTATAGCTCGTGCAGTTAGCGATAGATTCTGATATGTGCACTCCTTCTCGCTCTCTCTGTGTTCCAACGGGAATAATGCAGCCACTCACGTGGGCTGCGTCATCACGACATCATCACGACACCATCCCATCACATCCCAACGCATCCCATCGCAGTCACGGCCCCAGCATCCCATCCCGTCGCGTGCCGGGCTAAAAACGCCTGACGCGTGTACACACATACACACACACACACACGCACATGACACGGCATATGTATACATGCACATATGCAGTACATATGCCCCTCTTAACTCGCGTATATAAATACAGACACACTCAAAATAATCTCTTGCCCCTCCCTCCCCCCCCCCCCAAAGTAAAACATTGTTTCCCCCCTGGTCCATCAGCCTGTCGGCCTTGGGGAGCCACGGTTTTGCAGCAGTGTTGTTTGTAAGCAAGGCACACCCTGGGCTTGTCTGGGCCTCTCTTACCCACTTGTTCCACTGGCACATCCGAGCCGTGTGTGCGCTTTCCTTCCCCCCCCCCACCTCCCCCCCGGCTGGCTAAATTTCCGCGCCGAGCCGGCACCGAACCGTGCGACGACAGACGGCCTCGCGGGAAGGCGTTCTTGGGTCTGGCTGGGGGCCAAGCAGGGCCAGGCGCGCGGGGTGGGGGGGGGGAATGTAAACGCTGCGTGAGCGCCGGTCGGAGGACACTGTGCAGCGTCGCGAAGGAGCATGGCTCGGGTCTCGAGGTGGGTAAAACAAAAAAAAACGTGGGACCGGCGCGGCTCGGTTGCAGTGGCGATAAAGACGCAAAGCATCTCACGGGGGATCAGGGTCGGGCCCGTCGAGCGAACTTTGCCGGTCCGCCGGACGGTTGTTGTTGGCGGGATCACTCCCGTCCGCTGCTCTGGAGGCCCCTGTAGCACGAAGCGGCAGAATTGCAGCGACGACGTAGCCGTGAGATGCCGAGCGGCGGACGTGCGCGTGGCTATTCATTAGTCGCCCGTAACCCTCGGCGGGGGCGCGTGACCGACTCTGCTCGTGACCGACTGTGCTCGTGACCGACTCTGCTCGTGACCGACTCTGCTCGTGGCCGACTCTGCTCGTGGCCGACTCTGCTCGTGGCCGACTCTGCTCGTGACCGACTCTGCTCGTGACCGACTCTGCTCGTGACCGACTCTGCTCGTGGACGACTCTGCTCGTGGCCGACTCTGCTCGTGACCGACTCTGCTCGTGACCGACTCTGCTCGTGACCGACTCTGCTCGTGACCGACTCTGCTCGTGACCGACTCTGCTCGTGGCCGACTCTGCTCGTGGCCGACTCTGCTCGTGACCGACTCTGCTCGTGACCGACTCTGCTCGTGACCGACTCTGCTCGTGACCGACTCTGCTCGTGACCGACTCTGCTCGTGGCCGTTGCCTCCACAGCGAGCTGCGGCGCTGCGGCCGGCTGCCGACGTTCTCGATCGCCGGTTGCCGGTCGCGGTTTTTGTTGTCGTTGGTGGACTCGTAGTCGTCGTCAATATTGTTTCCGCGGTAGTTGCTGCACTTGTTGCTGTACTCTGCTGTGGTCCTTGTTGCTGTTGTTGTCTGGCTCCATAACACTCATGAAGAGGAGTTGCTACCCCCAATGCGCTCTCCGGCATTGCTCCTAATCACTGCCATTATCATCATCATCATCCTCATAACGTCAACAACTTCAAATTGACCATGTCACGAACTTGACGTTCATTTATAATCCTCCTTTATCACCATCGTTTTCATCATCGACATCACACCAACATCTCCGTTGTCATCGCTCTGATTGTAATCATCCATGCACACTGCGGGGAGGGCCGCAGGCACGGACCCTGCCGGCCACACCCCGGCACGTACACCGTGTACGTACGCCGCCGCCACCTGCTCCTTCGTATGTACACCGCATCTATGTACACGGGCTTAGGGGGGATGCAGGGATTGGAGAAGTGTAGCTGCTGCGTCACTACGCGTGGCCCTCCCCCCAGCCCGAGAGCGCGACGCTTCGTTGGCAGTCGGGCGCAGAGAGCGACGTCTCACGGCACGCGCGACGAGCCGCAGCGATGGAGCAGGGGGTCGCGGGGTCACGGGGTCGCGGGGTCACGCGGGGTCGCGCGTGGCCCCTCGTCATCGCTCCTCCGCGAGCCAGGCCCGCGAGCTCTCTCGCGCCGCTCCTCGCCCCGAGGTTCCACGGTCCCCGTGGTTTTATTTCAGTCCGCCAGTTCGTCGCCCCAACCCCCACCCCCCAACCTCTCCAACGTTCGCAATGCCGCCCCCCCCCCCACCCACGGCTCCAATCGTCGTCGTCCTCCACCACCCCCCCCTCCCCCCCCATCGACCAGCAGGGCAACCGATCATCCGACCGACCGGCCGTCTAACCGCCGAGTGACCGACCAGGCGACCAGCGAAAACGGCTGACGGACCGACCGACTGTCCAAACGACCCATCAACCAACAGGCCGGCCCCATCGGCCCGGCCAGCCGACTGCCACACGTCCGCTCCAGGCCGGGGGCGCTGCTCTGCCGCACTGCCGCTGCTGCTGCTGCTGCTCAGGCCTCGATGGGGCTGGAGCCGATGCTGGTGGGAGTGTCGGGCAGCTGCGACAGCGAGGTGATCTCACTGCCCGTCGAGTTGGAACCCGGCCGTCCCTCCGAGAAGTTCACCTGCTCCACACGGCGAGAAACCACCGCCACCATCACCATGAGCCACCACCACTCACCACGGCAATCACCATGATCATCATCACCACTACCACCACCGCAACCACCACAACCACCATGATCATCATCATCACCACTACCACCACCACAACCACCATGATGATCATCACCACTACCACCACGAGCCACCACCACCACAACCACCATGATCATCATCACCACTACCACCACCACAACCACCATGATCATCATCACCACTACCACCCCGAGCCACCACCACCACCACAACCACCATGATCATCATCACCACTACCACCACCACAACCACCATGATCATCATCACCACTACCACCACCATAACCACCACAACCACCATGATCATCATCACCACTACCACCACGAGCCACCACCACCACAACCACCATGATCATCGTCACCACTACCACCACGAGCCACCACCACCACCATGATCATCATCACCACTACCACCACAACCACCATGATCATCATCACCACTATCACTTCCACCACCACCACCACCACTTACCACGAGCACCACCACCATCATCACCACCATGACCACCATGAACATCGCCACACCGTCAGTGGTTAGCGGACAGCGCCACAAACCCGGCGACCCGAGTTCGATTCCCGCTCACGGCCAGCACCGGTCTCTCTGCGTGTGTGTCTGTGCGTGCGTGGATGAGTGCGTATGCACGCGCGTTTGTGCGTTTTATGTGCGTGCGTTTGTTTGTGCGCTTGCTCGCGCGAGCGAGCGTGCGTGCGCGGCGAGCAAGCGTCCTCACCAGCTGCTGGAAGGGCCCCTGGTCGAGCTCGCTGCTGAGCGCAAAGTCGCTGAGAGCCTTCCAGGGCGGCTGGTGGAACGTCTGCACGTCGACAGCGCCCACCGGAAGTCCCGGCCCGTCTTGCCGCACGGGGCTCCCGGCCACCAGCGGCGTCCCCGTCAGGCCCTGCAGGTTCTGCGACAAACGGCGCGGTGGGCACACGGGAGGAGGCGCACGGGAGGAGACACGCGGGAGGAGACACGCGGGAGGAGACACACGGGAGGAGACACACGGGAGGAGACACACGGGAGGAGACACGCGGGAGGAGACACACGGGAGGAGGCACACGGGAGGAGACACGCGGGAGGAGACACACGGGAGGAGACACACGGGAGGAGGCACACGGGAGGAGACACACGGGAGGAGACACACGGGAGGAGACACACGGGAGGAGACACACGGGAGGAGACACACGGGAGGAGACACACGGGAGGAGACACACGGGAGGAGGCACACGGGAGGAGACACGCGGGAGGAGACACACGGGAGGAGACACGCGGGAGGAGACACACGGGAGGAGACACACGGGAGGAGACACACGGGAGGAGACACACGGGAGGAGACACGCGGGAGGAGACACACGGGAGGAGACACACGGGAGGAGGCACACGGGAGGAGACACACGGGAGGAGACACGCGGGAGGAGACACACGGGAGGAGACACGCGGGAGGAGACACGCGGGAGGAGACACACGGGAGGAGACACACGGGAGGAGGCACACGGGAGGAGACACACGGGAGGAGACACGCGGGAGGAGACACACGGGAGGAGACACGCGGGAGGAGACACACGGGAGGAGACACACGGGAGGAGGCACACGGGAGGAGACACACGGGAGGAGACACGCGGGAGGAGACACGCGGGAGGAGGCACGCGGGAGGAGACACGCGGGAGGAGACACACGGGAGGAGACACGCGGGAGGAGGCACGCGGGAGGAGGCACACGGGAGGAGACACACGGGAGGAGACACACGGGAGGAGACACACGGGAGGAGACACACGGGAGGAGACACGCGGGAGGAGGCACGCGGGAGGAGGCACACGGGAGGAGACACACGGGAGGAGGCACACGGGAGGAGACACACGGGAGGAGACACACGGGAGGAGACACACGGGAGGAGACACACGGGAGGAGGCACGCGCGCAGACAAAAAGGCAAAGGCACGTAAGTCAAGTGAAGCGTGTTTTGTGTGGCCAGGTGAGAATCCCCAGAGATTAAAGCAAAAGGAGTCAAATGCAGCAGCGTCGCGAATAGGAAAGCGAGGCACAGACAGCTTCACCGGTGCGGAGGCGTTTCTGGCCGCGCTCACTCCCCACCACCCACCCACCGCCCTCCCAACCACCTCCCCCCCCACCCCCCCCGCTCCTCGCTATGTCCTTACGGCTCCGGCTGGATTCACCACTAGAGAAGGCTCATCACCATCACCACTACACACCATTACCACCACCATCACTACCATTACCACTACTACCATTGCCATCATCATCACCATCATCACTACCATCATAACCACACACCATAATCAACATCGTGATTAACTCTGCCGTAGTCGTCATCATCATCAGCCAGCGGTCAATCCATCGATCAACGGATAGAGTAATTAGGCGATCAAGCGAGTGAGCAATCTATCAAATCCATCGAGCAATCAAAAATCGAGCGATAAAGAGAGCAGCTGATCTATCGATCCATCGAGAATCAAGCCATCAAAAGAGCAGCTGATCTATCGATCCATCGAGAACCAAGCCATCAAAAGAGCAGCTGATCTATCGATCCATCAAAAGAGCAGCTGATCTATCGATCCATCGAGAACCGAGCCATCAAAAGAGCAGCTGATCTATCGATCCATCGAGAACCGAGCCATCAAAGGAGCAGCTGATCTATCGATCCATCGAGAACCGAGCCATCAAAAGAGCAGCTGATCTATCGATCCATCGAGAACCGAGCCATCAAAAGAGCAGCTGATCTATCGATCCATCGAGAACCGAGCCATAAAAAGAGCAGCTGATCTATCGATCCATCGAGAACCGAGCCATCAAAAGAGCAGCTGATCTATCAATCCATCGAGAACCGAGCCATCAAAAGAGCAGCTGATCTATCGATCCATCGAGAACCGAGCCATCAAAAGAACAGCTGATCTCTCGATTCACGGGAGCGACGAGGCACCGAGCGAGCAAGCGTGGGGGTGGGGGGGGGGGGGGGGCAGGGGGGGGGGGGGGGGGGGGGGGGGGGGGGGGGGGCCCTCACCGTTTTGTCTCCGCCCTGCTGCTGGATCTGCTTCATGAGGATGCTCCGCTTCTTGTCCTTGCAGCGCTTGTTCTGGAACCAGACGCGGATGACGCGGGGGCTCAGGCCCGTCATCTCCACGAGCTGCTCCTTCATGAGCGCGTCGGGGCGCGGGTTGGCCGCGTAGCAGGTGCGCAGCGTGTGCAGCTGCTTCTCGTTGAGCACCGTGCGCACGCGCGTCGTCTTCTCCGCCTGCTTGTGCACGTGCGGGCGCAGCGGGTGGTGGCGCCCCGCCGCAGACATGGGCTCGGCTGCGGGGGGCGGTGGGGGGGGCGGAGATGGAGAGGGGAGAGGGAGAGAGGAGGCGAAGAGGAGTGAGACAAAGCAGGTAAGGCCCCACTGAGCTATACGTAGCTCAGACGCGACCTGGACATCACAAATGACAGCTGGACGAGAGAGCCTTATCGTCATCACGTGGAAATTGAGAGCAGCCAAATAACTGTAAAACGCGCGATGTTGATTCTAAAACGCGGAGGGAAAACCCACGGAGGACCCGGACGAAAATCCACGCCACCACGGCGAGAACACGCAAGCTTCAAATATACAGCAGGCGTAAGGGTCGCGATTGGACCCACGACCTCCTGTGTACCGGCGAGGTAGTTAACATGCCAGCTTCACATATACAGCAGGCGTAAGGGTCGCGATTGGACCCACGACCTCCTGTGTACCGGCGAGGTAGTTAACATGCAAGCTTCAAATATACAGCAGGCGTAAGGGTCGCGATTGGACCCACGACCTCCTGTGTACCGGCGAGGTAGTTAACATGCAAGCTTCAAATATACAGCAGGCGTAAGGGTCGCGATTGGACCCACGACCTCCTGTGTACCGGCGAGGTAGTTAACATGCAAGCTTCAAATATACAGCAGGCGTAAGGGTCGCGATTGGACCCACGACCTCCTGTGTACCGGCGAGGTAGTTAACATGCAAGCTTCAAATATACAGCAGGCGTAAGGGTCGCGATTGGACCCACGACCTCCTGTGTACCGGCGAGGTAGTTAACATGCAAGCTTCAAATATACAGCAGGCGTAAGGGTCGCGATTGGACCCACGACCTCCTGTGTACCGGCGAGGTAGTTAACATGCAAGCTTCAAATATACAGCAGGCGTAAGGGTCGCGATTGGACCCACGACCTCCTGTGTACCGGCGAGGTAGTTAACATCTCCTAGCCACCGTGGCGTCCAACTGCGCTACGAACCCGGCGACCCGAGTTCGATTCCCGCTCACGGCCAACATCGCTTGCAAATATGTGAACCGGTCCTGCACCTCCCCTAGGTCGACTCAGCCTGGTGCAATGATGCGTGATCATTGTCACACGAGAGTCAAAGTCAGCGGGACACGCTACTGGCCACCCATCCTTTTGCGTACCGTGCGGACCTAACAGCACTTGCCCCTACCGTCTTTTAAGGCTATGAGGGGGATATTTGCCCTTGTTGCATTTAAGGAGACGCACATCTGGAATAGCTGCGCCCACGCCATACACCCCCACATTCCCACATTCACCCCATCTCAACCCCTCTCACTCACTCACCCTCTCCATCAACCCCTCTCACTCACCACCCTCAGCCCCTCACTCACTCACCCTCCCTCTCACTCACTCACCCTCTAGCTGTTATTCAACATCCTCACCCCCTCTCACCCCCCGCCTCCTCACCGGCGAGCTGAAGGGGCCGGCCGCCCCCCTGTCCCGGGCTGCCCATGCCGTCGGCGGTGCCGGCCCTCTCCAGGAGCTCGTGGTCGGCGCGGCAGAAGAGGCCGTCCTCCCGCAGAGCAAACTCGTCCCCCGGGATGAGCTGTCGGCTGCACGCCACGCAGCGGAAGCACTCGAGGTGGAACACCTGGGTTCGCACCCTCATCACGAAGTCCGTCTTGCTGAAGCCCACGCCACACTTAGCGCACTTGATGCCGAACAGCCTGCGGGCGCCCACAGCGAGAGGGGAGGGGGAGGGGAGGGGGAGGGAAGGGGGAGGGGAGAGACGGAGGGAGAGCGAGGGAGAGGGATGGAGAGAGAGGGAGCGAGATTGGAGGGAGAGAGAGAGAGAGAGAGTTTATTTTGATTAATCAGAGGTGGGAATTCAGGAGGCCCAGGGTAGAGCCTCGGGGGCTGCAACGTCGACCTGGGTCACAAAGATAGTGAGGGCTCAGCTAACTCAGCTAACTCAGCTGACTCAGCTAACTCAGCTGACTCAGCTGGCTCAGCTGACTCAGCTGGCTCAGCTAACTCAGCTGACTCAGCTGACTCAGCTAACTCAGCTGGCTCAGCTAACTCAGCTGGCTCAGCTGACTCAGCTAACTCAGCTAACTCAGCTGACTCAGCTAACTCAGCTGACTCAGCTAACTCAGCTGGCTCAGCTAACTCAGCTGGCTCAGCTAACTCAGCTGGCACAGCTAACTCAGCTGGCTCAGCTAACTCAGCTGGCTCAGCTAACTCAGCTGGCTCAGCTGACTCAGCTAACTCAGCTAACTCAGCTAACTCAGCTGGCTCAGCTAACTCAGCTGGCTCAGCTGACTCAGCTAACTCAGCTAACTCAGCTGACTCAGCTAACTCAGCTGACTCAGCTAACTCAGCTGGCTCAGCTAACTCAGCTGGCTCAGCTAACTCAGCTGGCACAGCTAACTCAGCTGGCTCAGCTAACTCAGCTGGCTCAGCTAACTCAGCTGGCTCAGCTAACTCAGCTGGCACAGGTAACTCAGATAACTCAGCTAACTCAGATAACTCAGCTAACTCAGCTGGCTCAGCTAACTCAGCTGGCTCAGCTAACTCAGCTAACTCAGCTGGCTCAACTAACTCAGCTAACTCAGCTGGCTCAGCTAACTCAGCTGGCTCAGCTGACTCAGCTAACTCAGCTAACTCAGCTGACTCAGCTAACTCAGCTGACTCAGCTAACTCAGCTGGCTCAGCTAACTCAGCTGGCTCAGCTAACTCAGCTGGCACAGCTAACTCAGCTGGCTCAGCTAACTCAGCTGGCTCAGCTAACTCAGCTGGCTCAGCTAACTCAGCTGGCACAGGTAACTCAGATAACTCAGCTAACTCAAATAACTCAGCTAACTCAGCTGGCTCAGCTGGCTCAGCTAACTCAGCTGGCTCAGCTAACTCAGCTAACTCAGCTGGCTCAGCAAACTCAGCTAACTCAGCTGGCTCAGCTAACTCAGCTGGCTCAGCTGACTCAGCTATCTCAGCTAACTCAGCTGGCTCAGCTAACTCAGCTTGCTCAGCTGACTCAGCTAACTCAGCTGACTCAGCTAACTCAGCTAACTCAGCTGACTCAGCTAACTCAGTTGGCTCAGCTAACTCAGCTGGCTTAGCTGACTCAGCTAACTCAGCTAACTCAGCTGACTCAGCTAATTCAGCTGGCTCAGCTAACTCAGCTGGCACAGCTGACTCAGCTGACTCAGCTAACTCAGCTGGCTCAGATAACTCAGCTGGCTCAGCTAACTCAGCTAACTCAGCTGGCTCAGCTAACTCAGCTGGCACAGCTAACTCAGCTGGCTCAGCTAACTCAGCTAACTCAGTTGACTCAGCTAACTCAGATAACTCAGCTGGCTCAGCTAACTCAGCTAACTCAGCTGGCTCAGCTGGCTCAGCTGGCTCAGCTAACTCAGCTGGCTCAGCTAACTCAGCTAACTCAGCTGGCTCAGCTAACTCAGCGAACTCAGCTGGCTCAGCTAACTCAGCTAACTCAGCTGGCTAAGGTCAGGCTTGCATATGAGCGGGATCCGAACCGCTTTGGCTTCTCGCTCTGGTCAAACGGACAACGGCGAATCGTGTCGCTCCGATGCGCTCGCAGGAGGCAGTGATGGCGATGCGTTGCGCAAAAAAAAATATTCAATTTTTTTCGGTAGCGGTTGGGGTTAGCATGGTTGAGTGTGGGTGACTCCGGTCTCAGTATGGGCCACTGGTGACCACGATGTGCTGACGAGGCCTGAGAAGGACGGCACCGGCCTGCAGCTGTCCGTCTCTGCATCACCGCTGCTTGTCAACCAGTCACGTTTCCTCGAATGCAGTAGATGGTTGAGCGAAGGCAACGGGACCCCGCAATGCAGGGGGCGCTACGGTGTCTAGGAGATGTTAACTACCTCGCCAGGTATACAGGAGGTCGTGGGTTCGATCCCGACCCTGACGCATGCATGGAGTTTGCGTGTCTCTCTCTCCCTGTGGAGATGTTAACTACCTCGCCTGCTATACAGGAGGTCGTGGGTTCGATCCCGACCCTGACGAATGCATGGAGTTTGCGTGTCTCTCTCTCTCCCTGTGGAGATGTTAACTACCTCGCCTGGTATGCTGGAGGTCGTGGGTTCGATCCCGACCCTGACGCATGCATGGAGTTTGCGTCTCTCTCTCTCTCTCTCCCCGTGGTAGCGTGGATTTTTATCCGGGTCCTCCCTGTTTTTGCTCCACATTTAGAATCAACATCACGCGTTTTAGAGTATTTGGCTGCCAACACAAAAAAAAATCCACACGATGAAGATGATGAACCACTCCGTTGGGCGATCATTTGGGATGGCCAGGTCGCTTCTGAACAAGAGCTACGTAGCTCAGTGTCGCCTTACCTGGTAAAATAAAAAAATAGAAAATTAAAAAAACTGCAGACGATTATTTTTTTGCTGCCATAACGCACGAATGGCCGAGAGTTTTTGTTTAATCGAACACGCGTCTACTGCGCGAGTCGTTTGAAACTTCTGCACGTACGGCGGCCCCACGTGACGATCAAAATATCCGCCACTGATGTTGGCCGTGAGCGGGAATCGAACTCGGGGGGGGGGGGGGGGGTTGTTGGTTTCGTGGCGCAGCGCGGCGCTAACCACTGCGCCACCGCTCTTCCCGCCACACTCCCCGTAGCTGTACACTGACAAAGTCGGCAGTGACGGCGCGGGCGCCAGACAGCTCCTAAACCTTACGATGACGCTTCCGCGAATGTCTATTGACAGATCTTATCAGGCGAGGTGGCAGGGCGAGTGATGGCTATTCCCTCCCCCACACACACACGGGTTCCCCTACCCCCCTCCTCCCTACCCCCTATATCCCAGCTCTCTACCCCACCTCCATACCCCCTCTATCCCAGCTCTCTACCCCCTCTACCCCACCCCCCTACCCCCTCTACCCCACCCCCTACCCCCTCTACCCTACCTCCCTACCCCCTTGTATCTCACCCGCCCCCCGCACGGACTTGAGATAGCGAGAGGGAGGGGAGGAGAGGGTGGGGAGGAGAGGGGAGGGAAGAGAGCAGAGGGAGGAGAGGAGAGGGTGGGAGGGAAGAGAGGGAGGGGAGGGAGGAGAGGAGAGGGAGGGGAGGAGAGGGAGGAGAGGGACGGGAGGGAGTTGTTAACCTCCGCCCGAGCAGCCACACGTTGTGTGCGCGTGTCGTGTGAGTGTCATGCCCGACCGCCTTTGTCTCCCCGGTGCTGATTGTTTTTGACACACCGCAGAGAGATTATCGTTTAAAGTCGATTCAAAACTAAAACTACGATAAACATTTCTATTTTATTTTACCAGGTAAGTCCCCACTGAGCGACGTAGCTCTTTTTTTTCAGAAGCGACCTGGCCACAATTGATAGCTCAACGAAGTGGCTTATCATGCGCAAATGTATAGTAGCCAAAAGCCCTAAACGCGTGATGTTGATTCTAAATGTGGAGGGGGAAACCGGAGGACCTGCATACACATCCACGCGAGCACGTGAGAGAGAGACGCAAACTCAAACTATACAGCAGCAGGCGTCAGGGTCAGGATGGAACCCACGACCTCCTGTACACCAGGCGAGGTAGTTAACATCTCCTAGCCACTGATGTTGGCCGTGAGCGGTCAACTGAATAAGCGCTCGCTAACAGCACTGACACAACGCTCTATAACGCTGACCGACGAGGCTATTGTTAGTGAGTTTAACACGTGGTAGGCTTACGCGACCAACATAATCCACAACACAGGGTTTTTTGTTTGGTTAGAGCGCGTAAAGATATAAATATATCACGAAACAGGAGGATTTCTCCACAAATCTGACTGTCGCCTGATGAAAGGTCATTGTAATTACTGGCGAAACGTCGTTCTCAGATTGTAAATGTTGTGCATTTTTGCTCTCCAACACACCCGTGTTGCTGTACTAGCAACGTGTTGTTTACGTGACAAACCTGACTACTCTTTGGTTCTTTCGGTAAAGTCACGTCGGTAGAAAAACAAAAATAATAAATCACGACGTTTCGATCGCAACACAAGCGATCGTCCTCAGGTGAAACAAAAATCCAGCATCATCATTGTTTTTTTTACCCCTTTTTTTGGCAACAAAACTGCCACCTTTTTTTTACATGGAGTCATGTTTGCATTGACCACAATACCTGCGGTCGGAATGCAAACAAAAAATAACAACTCTGATAATGTATTGGCACTGTCCTTGAAATTGATTGGTCCACACCCGAGACAGCTTTTACATATAGAGCCTCGTCTCACATGGGTGTTGAACCAGATGACGCAAAAAAAAAGGTGTCAGTTTTGTTGCCAGATAGAAGGGTAAAAAAACCAATGATCATATTTTGCTACTGGCATAGGAGGTTCTCAAATGGTGAAACAAAGATCCAGAAGTAGAACTGCTGAACAACATCGCGAGAGAGCTAACAAAAGCGGCTGTCTCGCAACTCTCTCGCTATGTTGCTCTGCAGTTCTACCGCTAGATTTTTGTTTCACCTGAGGACGATCGCTTGTGTTGCGATCGAAACGTCGTGATTTATTTTTTATTTCATTTTTCTACCGACGTGACTTTACCGAAAGAACCAAAGAGTACGGATCCCTGCAGTCACGAATTGGCTGTGTCGGGTGGTGGCGGGTTTAACGACACACTAATATATATTTACGCGATCTAACCCAAAAATAACCTCTGTTATGGGCCTAGTGTTGTTAAGAGGTGTACTGTATATGCAGCTTTGC